ACTGTGCGATGAGGGAAATTTTGCCCGGACAGCGGCACTACGGCCTACTCTTATATCGAATTCCATCTGTCAAAGGGATCTTTTACGTCCACTCCAATGTAGACACGGGACCTCGGTTTTTCGTCCCATCCGAAAGACTAGACAGCTGTCCTTGTCCGCCTCGAAAAGAATAGAGTCCCTATATATGATATAAACGAAGAAAGGGGATGGGGTGGGGCGGGGGTGGGGGGGATGAGGTATTTGACATTTTCATGTGGCCTCGTCCAGTCGATAAAACCAGTCAGTTAGTTCAGTCGAATAATCCAGTCGAATAAACCAGTCGAATAATTCAGTCGAAAAGTTCAGTCGAATAAACCAGTCGAATAGTTCAGTCGAATAATTCAGTCGAATAAACAAGTCGCTCAATATTAAGCAGCGGTGGCAGCGGGCTAAGATAATATAGTAGCAAATCATGCTCGTAGCCATAGCTGAAGGAGCCGGGGGCATGGGGTAGTGACCGGGGGGCTTCCCAACTAGTTTCAAGAAATGAAAAGAAATGAAATGGGGTTTTAACGTCCTTCTGTTCTGCTTGGAACTGGGCTAATGAAGACGGGCAGACGCCATACACTGTGCGATGAGGGAAATTTTGCCCGGACAGTGGCACTACGGCCTACTCTTATATCGAATTCCATCTGTCAAGGGATCTTTTACGTCCACTCCAATGTAGACACGGGACCTCGTATGTCGTATGTCCGTCTTCATTAGCCCAGTTCCAAGCAGAACAGAAGGACGTTAAACCCCCATTTTATTTCTTTTCATTTCTTGAAACTAGTTTGGAAGCCCCCCGGTCCCTACCCCGTGCCCCCGGCTCCTTCGGGTATGGCTACGAGCATGATTTGCTACTAATTATCTTAGCCCGCTGCCACCGCTGCTTAATATTGAGCGACTTGTTTATTCGACTGAATTATTCGACTGGATTATTCGACTGAACTAACTGACTGGTTTTATCGACTGGACGAGGCCACATGAAAATGTCAAATACCTCATCCCCCCCCCACCCCCGCCCCACCCCATCCCCTTTCTTCGTTTATATCATATATAGGGACTCTATTCTTTTCGAGGCGGACAAGGACAGCTGTCTAGTCTTTCGGATGGGACGAAAAACCGAGGTCCCGTGTCTACATTGGAGTGGACGTAAAAGATCCCTTTGACAGATGGAATTCGATATAAGAGTAGGCCGTAGTGCCGCTGTCCGGGCAAAATTTCCCTCATCGCACAGTGTATGGCGTCTGCCCGTCTTCATTAGCCCAGTTCCAAGCAGAACAGAAGGACGTTAAACCCCATTTCATTTCTTTTCATTTCTTGAAACTAGTTGGGAAGCCCCCCGGTCCCTACCCCATGCCCCCGGCTCCTTCAGCTATGGCTACGAGCATGATTTGCTACTATATTATCTTAGCCCGCTGCCACCGCTGCTTAATATTGAGCGACTGAATTATTCGACTGGATTATTCGACTGAATTATTCGACTGAACTATTCGACTGGTTTATTCGACTGAACTTTTCGACTGAATTATTCGACTGGTTTATTCGACTGGATTATTCGACTGAACTAACTGACTGGTTTTATCGACTGGACGAGGCCACATGAAAATGTCAAATACCTCATCCCCCCCCCACCCCCGCCCCACCCCACCCCCTTTCTTCGTTTATATCATATATAGGGACTCTATTCTTTTCGAGGCGGACAAGGACAGCTGTCTAGTCTTTCGGATGGGACGAAAAACCGAGGTCCCGTGTCTACATTGGAGTGGACGTAAAAGATCCCTTTGACAGATGGAATTCGATATAAGAGTAGGCCGTAGTGCCGCTGTCCGGGCAAAATTTCCCTCATCGCACAGTGTATGGCGTCTGCCCGTCTTCATTAGCCCAGTTCCAAGCAGAACAGAAGGACGTTAAACCCCATTTCATTTCTTGAAACTAGTTGGGAAGCCCCCCGGTCCCTACCCCATGCCCCCGGCTCCTTCAGCTATGGCTACGAGCATGATTTGCTACTATATTATCTTAGCCCGCTGCCACCGCTGCTTAATATTGAGCGACTTGTTTATTCGACTGAATTATTCGACTGAACTATTCGACTGGTTTATTCGACTGAACTTTTCGACTGAATTATTCGACTGGTTTATTCGACTGGATTATTCGACTGAACTAACTGACTGATTTTATCGACTGGACGAGGCCACATGAAAATGTCAAATACCTCAACCCCCCCCCCCCCACCCCCGCCCCACCCCATCCGTTTCTTCGTTTATATCATATATAGGGACTCTATTCTTTTCGAGGCGGACAAGGACAGCTGTCTAGTCTTTCGGATGAGACGAAAAACCGAGGTCCCGTGTCTACATTGGAGTGGACGTAAAAGATCCCTTTGACAGATGGAATTCGATATAAGAGTAGGCCGTAGTGCCGCTGTCCGGGCAAAATTTCCCTCATCGCACAGTGTATGGCGTCTGCCCGTCTTCATTAGCCCAGTTCCAAGCAGAACAGTAGGACGTTAAAACCCCATTTCATTTCTTTTCATTTCTTGAAACTAGTTGGGAAGCCCCCCGGTCACTACCCCATGCCCCCGGCTCCTTCAGCTATGGCTACGAGCATGATTTGCTACTATATTATCTTAGCCCGCTGCCACCGCTGCTTAATATTGAGCGACTGAATTATTCGACTGGATTATTCGACTGAATTATTCGACTGAACTATTCGACTGAATTATTCGACTGAACTTTTCGACTGAATTATTCGACTGGTTTATTCGACTGGATTATTCGACTGAACTAACTGACTGGTTTTATCGACTGGACGAGGCCACATGAAAATGTCAAATACCTCATCCCCCCCACCCCCGCCCCACCCCACCCCCTTTCTTCGTTTATATCATATATAGGGACTCTATTCTTTTCGAGGCGGACAAGGACAGCTGTCTAGTCTTTCGGATGGGACGAAAAACCGAGGTCCCGTGTCTACATTGGAGTGGACGTAAAAGATCCCTTTGACAGATGGAATTCGATATAAGAGTAGGCCGTAGTGCCGCTGTCCGGGCAAAATTTCCCTCATCGCACAGTGTATGGCGTCTGCCCGTCTTCATTAGCCCAGTTCCAAGCAGAACAGAAGGACGTTAAACCCCATTTCATTTCTTTTCATTTCTTGAAACTAGTTGGGAAGCCCCCCGGTCCCTACCCCATGCCCCCGGCTCCTTCAGCTATGGCTACGAGCATGATTTGCTACTATATTATCTTAGCCCGCTGCCACCGCTGCTTAATATTGAGCGACTTGTTTATTCGACTGAATTATTCGACTGGATTATTCGACTGAATTATTCGACTGAACTATTCGACTGGTTTATTCGACTGAACTTTTCGACTGAATTATTCGACTGGTTTATTCGACTGGATTATTCGACTGAACTAACTGACTGATTTTATCGACTGGACGAGGCCACATGAAAATGTCAAATACCTCATCCCCCCCCCACCCCCGCCCCACCCCATCCGTTTCTTCGTTTATATCATATATAGGGACTCTATTCTTTTCGAGGCGGACAAGGACAGCTGTCTAGTCTTTCGGATGAGACGAAAAACCGAGGTCCCGTGTCTACATTGGAGTGGACGTAAAAGATCCCTTTGACAGATGGAATTCGATATAAGAGTAGGCCGTAGTGCCGCTGTCCGGGCAAAATTTCCCTCATCGCACAGTGTATGGCGTCTGCCCGTCTTCATTAGCCCAGTTCCAAGCAGAACAGTAGGACGTTAAAACCCCATTTCATTTCTTTTCATTTCTTGAAACTAGTTGGGAAGCCCCCCGGTCACTACCCCATGCCCCCGGCTCCTTCAGCTATGGCTACGAGCATGATTTGCTACTATATTATCTTAGCCCGCTGCCACCGCTGCTTAATATTGAGCGACTGAATTATTCGACTGGATTATTCGACTGAATTATTCGACTGAACTATTCGACTGAACTATTCGACTGGTTTATTCGACTGAATTATTCGACTGGTTTATTCGACTGGATTATTCGACTGAACTAACTGACTGGTTTTATCGACTGGACGAGGCCACATGAAAATGTCAAATACCTCACCCCCCCCCACCCCGCCCCACCCCACCCCCTTTCTTCGTTTATATCATATATAGGGACTCTATTCTTTTCGAGGCGGACAAGGACAGCTGTCTAGTCTTTCGGATGGGACGAAAAACCGAGGTCCCGTGTCTACATTGGAGTGGACGTAAAAGATCCCTTTGACAGATGGAATTCGATATAAGAGTAGGCCGTAGTGCCGCTGTCCGGGCAAAATTTCCCTCATCGCACAGTGTATGGCGTCTGCCCGTCTTCATTAGCCCAGTTCCAAGCAGAACAGAAGGACGTTGAACCCCCATTTCATTTCTTTTCATTTCTTGAAATTAGTTGGGAAGCCCCCCGGTCCCTACCCCATGCCCCCGGCTCCTTCAGCTATGGCTACGAGCATGATTTGCTACTATATTATCTTAGCCCGCTGCCACCGCTGCTTAATATTGAGCGACTTGTTTATTCGACTGAAGTATTCGACTGAACTTTTCGACTGGTTTATTCGACTGGATTATTCGACTGAACTAACTGATTGATTTTATCGACTGGGCGAGGCCACATGAAAATGTCAAATACTGAAGCGACTAGATACTATGCTGTCATCAGTTTTATGCATCGGACACAGACTTAATTCAAGTTGTTTATATTAGTACGGCCATTGTTTTCAGTTGATGACGTCAGTCGTTGACCCTTAACCCTAGATGACGACCTTACTCGCAAAGAGAGGTCAACACGTTGTTTAGGGTATTGCTATTGGAAGGAAAATCTCAATAAAATTGTGACTTCAACTGTCAGATTTGAACTTGGGGGAAAATAATCAAAATAGACAAAAAACGATGTAATCATATTTGAGTTAGTGCGTTTTTTATTTCAGTCAAACAAACTATTCCCAAATTTTAGCCCATCCATCGACCGAGTTTGTTGACTGGAAATTCTAGTGGTACTTAGGGGTAATTGTGTTATGTTTGGTAAGTTGTAAACAAAATGTTTTGTATATGTTATAGTTTAAAACAAAAATATTAAATGCATTAGAGCTATGGCATTGGGTCTGAACAAAATAAGGAGTTTTGATTTATATATCATGCGAATCACAAATTATTAATACTTCCAATAGCGATGCCAAATAACGAGTTTTGAAATACCGGTACACAAAATGTCTCTACTACTCAAATGACTATTTCACTGCAGCAAGTGTCAACTATATATTTTGATTTAATAATCTGTAAAATTCTGAAAAAATATTGAATATTAAAAAAGTTATGACATTTTTAATATTGCGAATTGGAGACACTAAATTACAGCATTTTTTAAAATTGCAAAAAAAACTGACCGAAGCTAATATCTCAGAAATTATAAAAGGGTAGAGAGAGAGAAATCGGGTTTAACGTCCACTCAACACAAACTAGGTCTTTTCGGGACTAACAAATGGTTCAATTTTATTTCAATAATTCGTGTATGTGGTCTTTAGCAGTGGGAGGAAACCGAAGGACCCGGAGAAAAGATTATAAAAGGTAGATCTATGAAACTTGCAGAAATTGAAGTTCAAGATCTACCTGATCGAATCAAACTATCCCGAGACAGTTCAGTTATATAGTTTTTGTGATACAGACTCTCAAAGTTACGACCAAGACCATTTTCGTTAAAGGTCACATCAAAAAATTGACATAACGGTTATTAACCAACCACATAGAAATCCCAGAACTTTGAAATCTTTACCCAATCTGTTTCTTGGTGTAATGAATACACACAGAATGTTTTTATATTGTTATCTTGTTTATTTATTTGGTGACAGCTACTTTAAATGTCAAGGTAAAACAGGGAGGTAACGGGACACTGCTGAAAAGAGGTTATGAAATTTTCAGTCTTGTATAAATGGTACACAGGTTAATAATAAATAAAATACATTATTATATGTATATATATACACTCAAAAGACACACATAGTGTTCATTTTGTAAGTGACAGCTATTCAGTTGCCAAAGAATAGTTGAATAGAGATTCATTATATCATTACCTTGACTAAGTTCGATGGTGAGAATTTTCTGCTTAGGCTAAGGAGCGATAAGCAATTTGATTGGTCAAGGCTTTGGAACATAACAACTCGCTGCTTTTAACTGAGGTAGAATGTTTAAACTTGATGTAGATGTTCATTAGGTGAATGTCTTGACTGAGGTCAATGATTAACATTTCAAGCTGAAGCTTAGCAGAGCTAATCAATTTCATTGGTCGAAGCTTTGGGACAAGATAATCTTGATTCTATCTGATAGAGAGTGATGTAACTTAGTGTATAGTTTGATGGCTCGATACTTTTGAAAAAAATAAATGTGCGATTAATTAATATGTGTCATCTATTTATTTTGAGATTTCGGCGGGGACATCAGCCTCACTGTTGGCTTGTTTAAGTATAAGTGTGTGATTGTGTTGTATAAAAACTATCAAACCTGTTTTGAGGACAGGTTTAGTGTTTTTATTATTTTTTTAGCAACATGTCTCTTGACAATGCCAATCCCATTGTGTATCAAAGATCTGGAGCAAGACAGATTTCAGCAGCAGATGAAGATGATACTGTCATTGATGAAATTGATGACAGAGAAGTCTATGATATCCTTTCCCTGACAGAATAAAAAAAAAACCAGGCTATGTCTTTACCACATGAATCGCAATTTCCCTTGTACCAGTATGGTAGTAGATTTATTCTAAAACCATAATGATGATTAGCTTCATCTGTAGTAGCCTATATAAGGGACATCGTAGTATGCTGGATGGGAAGGAAATATCAATTTTAATAAATGAAGACTATCTGATATTTGTATTTGGGCTATAAATTACTTTTCATAATTGATAGTGGTGGAAATGGTAAAATAAATTACCAGTACCTCAGAAACGGATAACATTTGGTTATTGGTAATGGTAGCCTCTTCAGGACATATCATTCATAGTGAGCCTATATATCCAGGCATTCCAAAAGTCTTGATAATTTTGATTACAACATTACCTTGTATCTTCACTAACCATATAGTTGACAGTGTGGGCTAATGACAATAATACATGTAAATTGAAATTAATGTAGCATAATTTATTTTGAACCATTTCTAGAAATTTAAAATCATAAAGTCAATTTGTAATATTACATTAGCATTGGGTTAACAGTGATGCCAATTTAAATGATATTTATGGTTCTGTGGGCAATATTTACACTATTCTGAAACTGATTCCTTAACTTGTTAACATCTTATCAGATCAATAAATGATCCAGAACACCCTTTAACGCTTGAAGAACTAAATGTAGTGGAACATGCTAATGTTCATGTAAGTAGAAATTCATATTTCATTATGCAGACATAAAATGCTTTTTCATACATAATTTTACTATCAATTCTGGATTCTGAATTTTCAGGGTCAGATGTATTTTAATCCTTTAGATACCATACTCAAAGATTGTAAATGATATCGACTTACTACGGTATATATTCTAGTGATTACATATATCTCTTGGAGTTAATTTTCAACGTGCATCTTATTAACGATACATTATGTAAGATTTAGATAAAGAGCTGGACATTCTTGCTATAACAGTTCAAAAATAGATAATGTGTGCATTGATTGGTTATTATTACCACAGTATTGGTATATTCAAGGTTTAGCCTCGCTTCCCCATTTAAAATTAAATCATTAAATGGCAGAATTGTTTTAATCTAGTATCCGATGGCATCAAGAATTGATTATGATCTTGTCATGGTAATAAATGTCTAATTAATAATTTATATAACATTTAAGGCCTAAAGAAAGACCTGCAATAGGCAAATTAGCTCTTGAATAATAATGTATCCTTAACCTAGCTTAAGATACAGATTAAAGAACCTGTTGTGATGTTCTTACCAGCCATTTCTTAAGTCTTTCGTGCTAGATGTATTAGACCATGTGCTATTCTATCAATTATAGCTAGGTACACTGAGGGGCTCTTAATCATATGCTTTTTTATGAGCTGATGCAGTTTGATAATCTAAAAAAAGCCGATTGATAAATCATTAAACTAGCCACTGTTGTGATATCATATTATTATGTTAACAAGGTTACATGTACATAGCGATTTAGAAGAAATGTTTTCAGTATGGTGTCAGCACTCTGTCAAGACCTTATAATTACCTTCCTATGGATTAATTAATTATTTCAATTAAAATATTACAATTAACACACACTATCCCATATAGCAGTATATTAGATTCAAAATTCTATTGTGCTATCCTCTAATTTCTAACTTGTATTCATGTAATTTATAATCCAACTTCTTTATTTGATCAGTGCAAATTTTCTAAGAAAGTCAAAACGTAATTATTTCTATGTCTTTTCCTCAATTGGTTGTCAACTCACAATTATACGATCATAGGTGTCATTCTCACACTTAAGATTCATTTACACAGGAAATAATAACACCATTACCTCCTAATTACCTCCCTTGTTTTCTATTCTCCACCATGGAGTAGCGATATTCAAACGTTTGAAAATGAAGAGGAAAATGATATTTTTGCTAATTTCTCAGCTGGCAATAGTGAATTATAGGATTAATAGGATTATTCTTTAACAAGGTAGGACTGTTTATGGATACCATCTATTTTCAGGCTTTATTTTAATAAATTTTAAAAATATAACTTAAAAATTTGCAATTTCCGCTTTAAGAGTCATGAATAACCCAATAGACCATTAATTTTAACCGAGATATTAAATATTGACGTCCTATAATGCCATCTTCGACTGAATCTGGAGCAAAGATGAAAAAGTCACAGTAGAAAGTGAAAAAACGTAAACAGATTTTTACATTGTTAAATTTTGTCGAGCAACTTTTGTTTTGATACTAATATAGTGATTTTGTGTTATGTAATATTTACAAGTGAAAAATCTCGAAAATGGCCATATTTACCACTTTGACTATGATAATTTTGCCATTTTAACCATGAAATTTTCTCTTAATATGGCAACGATTCGTCTCCATAGTAAAGCGGCAATCAAGTATACATTTTTCGTCTTAATAGAAATAAGATTAAACAGAAATAAAATTTACACTGAACAAATAAAGAAGTTGGATTATACATTTAATTGTCTTAATTTAGAAATTACATGAATAGAAGTTAGAAATTACATGAATAGAAGTTAGAAATTACATGATAGCATGTTAGAATTTTGAATCTAATATATGGCCATAATCCCATTCTTATTACTCATTAGACTATGCTCCGAGATGTCATATCAATATTATTGTAACCCATAACTAATCAAACCATAGAAGGGTAATTATAAGGTCTTGACATACCATGGTGACAATGGCCACTTTAATAGGTCTGTTTATTTTGAAATGTTTTAAAGGTTGATAATAAAAAGAATCAAGTTGCAATATCCTTCACTCCAACCATACCCCACTGTAGTATGGCCACATTGATAGGTCTGTCTATAAGGGTTAAATTACTCCGTTCTTTGCCAGCTAGATTTAAGGTAAGGTAAACTTATCAAAATCTGAGTCTGATCAGAAACAGTTTATTGTTGTTTATGTTCTAGAAAATAATTATATTCTAACGATAATTACCATTAGCAGAATCATTAGCAGAAATGATTATTACTTGTGGCATGAATTTGCTTTTGGTGGGTTGGGGAAATGGCAGGCCCTCATCTGTGTTATAGATATACCAATATTGATACCATTACATAACAACAGTAAATTAAACAAAAGAAGTAGGGGGAAACATACAAAGCTTTGCACTTCATTAACCACTATTTGTGTGTCCACCCACTAATTAATGCAAAACCCTTTTAAAATAATTAAGCATTTGTATAAAATTATTTGTCTCTACAACTATATGATTGATTGAACAATTCATTAGAAATCAACATAAATAATTCCTTATATTTGTAAACATTGTATTATTAGGTAGATGTTCAAATTTCACCAGGTACTCATGCATCAGAAGAAGCAGGCAAGTTACCAATTTTTACATCAGGAATGCTAAAATTATTATCCAAATTCATTTACAGAAGACCTATTTAATTTTCTGTTAATAATGCAACTGAGAACAGACCAACAAGATTTTAAAATGTTGAAAGCTTGAGGTGAATCTGATGGACATACTTTAAGTTTTAAATAATGTCTAGCTGTACTTCTGAGTGTTAAATCAAATATGTATATCAATTCTTAAGAATTTGTAAAGTTTCAATTTATACAGTGTAATATGCTTAAAAACAAAATTTAGATTGGATTTTGATACAATTAATACCCTGGACCATTTGCATATCTTATTATAGTTTAAAATAAATTTTTAATACAAATTTGAACCGATCAAAAAAAAATATTGTCACTAAATAATCATTATTTTGGTGGGGTTTTTTCTTCCAGTGAACAAGCAATTAGCAGATAAGGAAAGAGTTGCAGCAGCTTTAGAGAACTCCCATTTACTTAAAGTTGTAAATGAATGTCTCTCTAATCATGAAAACTAAAACACCAATACTTTACATATTAAACCAGAAAACAATTAATAACTTACTGGAAATAAGTAAGCCTTTCTAGTGACAAGTAATGAATTTGTATGTCCATGGAGGCAGATAATGTATATATGTCACCCAAGACATTCCACAAATGGAGCAGGAGCGATTTAAATGTTTGTGTCATTGGAGATATTTAAGTAATCTACTATATTATTTCATACATATATGAAACATTATTTGGAAACATATTGAGTAAGATCTGTTAAAGACACTGTATAAAACACCACTTACAATGTAGTTTTTCTTTAACTTCTAAGTCATAGTCATTTATTATAAAAAAAATAAAGTCAAAATGATTTGAAAATTCATCAGTTAGTCTCAAAGTGCCAGGTTATCACAAGTCTTCTTCTATTACTGTTTAACGTACTCTTCCACTAAGGTTGTCTTATTTTACTATGTTCAGCACACACGCAGGGGTCTTTCCTGTGGGAGAAACCCGGAGTAAACCCACCAAGTTGAGAAGGCGCCCCTATCTCCAACCCAAATACGCTAGAGCTCGAAGCGTGATACTCTAGACCACTGTTATACATATATACTAAGCAGCAATAGAAACGTCCGGTTGGTATGTTACTCTGAATAGAAGCATTACATAAAACTTGCGAATGTTTTTATTGTATATTTGTGACCACATCTCCAACTTTACCTGAACAATAAGGCTCCTTCCCAAACACAGAATTGAACCCAGGAAATGTTCTCAAAAACGCAACCTGACGTTTGAGATGGTATTGTGTTGTCCATGATTTTCATGTATCTCATGCTGCACGCGCTGCTCACCTGGCCACCAACACCACGGATGATCGCCCCCGAACTGGTAGACCCAGGTTAACCACAAAGCGACAAGACCGCCATGTTGTGCGACACAGGCATCTGAGACAGCACGTCAAACTGTATCAGTACCGATACAGTGCGTCGACGTCTCACCAGAGAAAACATCCATTGTCGTAGATCTTACCGCGGACCGATCCTCAACCCTCGCCATTGACGTGAACCTTCTACAGTTTGCCCAACACCACCAGAACTGGCGACACAGGCAATGGAGAGCTATTCTGTTCACAGCTAATGAGAGTATTGCGTATCAACTGCAGATGACAGGACCAGTATATGGCGTTGACGTGGCCAGCGTTATATCTGATTAATGTGTTCTGGAACGAGACTCATTGGGAGGTCCAAGCATAATTGTTTGGGGTGGAATCGGCCTGAACCAGAGTGGGTCCTGTGGTGTTCCAAAATCTTGGTCCAGGGAGAGGAGGCGGCATCACAGCAGTGCGCTACATCGATCAAGCTCTCAGACCCCACGTCATACAACATTTCGCACGTCATTGAAATAACGTTTACCAGATGACAACGCCCGTGCCCACACCGCCAGAGTTACTTGGAACTTTCTACAGCAAAACGGTGTCCGTTATGCACTGGCCAGCCCTTAGTCCGGACTTAACCCTGATTGAACATCTTTGAGATGAAATTCAGACGAGACTTAATAACGTAACTTCCTGAATTATGGCCCCAGATTGTACGAAAAATCGCGTTTTTAGCTTGAGGTCCCTCTAGATGTCACAATTATTATCCGATTTAAAAAAAAAAGTTCAAATATATCACTGTTACACCGTAATTTTGGTTGCGTTCGAATTTCGTGAAAATCGGACCAAAACTGCCGGACAAAATGGTCGCCGCCGCCCATCGTATACAATTAGTGTAAACATCTGGTATATCAAAGTTGTGGACCCTCTAGAGGTCAGAATTTTAATCTGATTTTGATGAAACTTAAAATGCATGTTTATAACCCAAAGATCTTGGTTCCTTTCGATATTCGGGCATATCGGATAGTGACTTCATGAATTATTATGGCCCCTGATTGTTTGAAAAATCATGTTTTTAGCTTGTCCCTCTAGAGGTCACAATTATTATCCGATTTAAAAAAAAAAACTTTCGATATGTCACTGTTATACCCTAATGTTTATTGAATTCGAATTTTGTGAAAATCGGGCCAAAACTGCCGGACAAAATGGCCGCCCCTCGTACGCAAATAGTGTATAGCATCTGGTATATCAAGCTTGTGGACCCTCTAGAGGTCACAATTTTTATCCGATTTTGATGAGAGTTGAAATACATGTTTATAACCAAAGATCTTGGTTCCTTTCGATATTCGCGCGTATCGGATCGTAACTTCCTGAATTATGGTCCTTGAATGTACAAAAAATCACGTTTTTAGCTTGCCGTCCAAGTAGAGGTCAAAATTTTTATCCGAATTAAAAAAAACGTCAATATATCATCATTACACACTTGATTCCGTTTGATAATCGCGTATATCCGAACGTAACTTCCTGGATTATGGCTCCTGATTGTTCGAAAAATCGCATATTTAGCTTGCGGATTCTCTAGAGGCCACAATTTTTTTTCCGATTTTAAAAAACGTTTAAATATTTCACCATTCCACCATAATAAAGGTTGAATTCGAATTTCGGGGAAATCGAAATGAAACTGCCCGACAAAATGGTCGCTCTTTGTACACAAATTGTGTAAAAGTATGATATGCGAAGGTTGTGGACCCTCTAGAGGTCACATTTTTTATCCGATTCTGATAAAACTTAAAACATATCTTTATATCCCAAAGATCTCAGTCCCTTTTGATATTTGCGCATTTCAGACCATAACTTTCTGGATTATTGCCCCTGATTGTACAAAAAATCGTTTTTGTTTTTAGCTTGTTCTCTATCCATCTCTTGCAAAATGTGGGTATATCCTGCCTGGCAGCCGCTGGTTCTAGTAAGATTGGATGTTTCTAGTAAGATTGGATGTTTCTACTTTGTATGTATATATATCAAAATTGCCATACTTTTATTGGAAATAACCACCCGATAAACACTTTGTGGGAAAGTATCTTTAACTGAATAGAACTGTACGTTCACACTCCGTCACTGTGTAAAATAAACGGATATGCACATGCCGGGCAGTATGATAACCCACAAGATAATAATGTATGTGCTTTAATACATAAATTATTAGTTCGTCAACTATACTGACGTCCAAAAGAAAGTATACCAAATATTTTAGTTTTGAACCGAGATCCACGAAACTTAACAGAAACGTGAAAAACTAATGGCTCTTGTCTTATGTGTTATGATAAAATTCTCGCAATTGCGTCCAAACTCTCATTATGCGAAAATGCACGTGCAGGAAAAACAGTATAAAACCAACTGAAAACACGAGACATTGTCACAACATAAAAAAAGCACACATGAAAAATGCCACTCCTGACGGCAGTTCAGAGAGAGCGAGGCTTAGGAATGGCCCAACAAGGAGCGTCGCATGCCAAAGTCGAAAGAACCTTTGGCTACACCCGTGTATGTATCACCAGGCTGTTACAACGTCCACGGCAGACAGTAGACAGGCCGCGATGTGGGAGACGACCGCTCCACCCGAGGTATCCGCCTCAGAAACCGTTTCATCCCTGCAACAGCAACGGCAGCAACAGCGCTCGGACATCGTATCAGTCGACAGACACTATCACAACGACAACGGGAGCAGGGGATTACAGTACGACGTCCTTTCCGCGGGGTATTACTGACGCAACAACGCCAGCTAACAGGCTCCAGTGGACAAGACAAGTTCGACGTTGGCAAGCCTGAGACTGGATAAGAGCAGATTCTGCTTGTACAGAGCTGATAGCCGTCAGCGAGTAGGCTATATACAGACGTGCTGGGGAACGTTTATCTCCTAGAGTCCTAACTGTGTACGAGAAGTTTCAGCGTATGGCGGAGGTGGTGTTATGTGTGGGGAGAAATCTGTGGTGAACTGAAAAAAGGCTAGCCATAATTCGTGGAAACCACAATGCGCAGAGGTACAAGGATGAGATTCTGCGACCAGTAGTCTTTCAATTTATTCACCAACAGCCATGTGGTATTGTCTTTCAACATGACAACGCATGGCATCATACAGTCAGGCTGACACAGGATTGCCTGGACAACATGAATGTGCACGTTTGAAAGTGCGTGTTCGCCAGACATGAACCGAATTGAACATTGTGGGACCATCTCGATAGGCAGATTAGGAACAGACCCGTGACTCCAGCCAACCCACAACTTGAGCAGTGTCTGATTGATGCATGACAAGAGATTCCACGTGACGTCATTAGGCGACTGACGTTATCCATGCGCCGACGTATTCTTGCATGCGTCAATCACATCTATAGATCAGTGGCGCCAATGCTCAAGGAGGACATACTCGCTACTAAGGCAACCCTACATGATGACTCCGTGTAAATCTCATTGTGAATAACCTTTTTGCATTGTTATGTGCCATTTTGGGACCCCCGATGTGTTCATTTAATTTCTTTATGTTTGTTATTGATGAAATGTGTTTACGTTTAAATTATGCGGATATGATAAGCTACTCTCTAATGAAATATAAAAATTATTTGTTAAACTGCTTTTTTTTCTTTTTTTTTTCTTTTTTAAGCGGAAATTGCAAATTTTCTAAGAAAGTCAAAACGTAATTATATCTATGTCTTTTGCTCAATATACGATCATAGGTGTCGTTCTCACACTTAAAACTCATTTACACAGGAAATAATAACACAATTACCTCCCTTGTTTTCTATTCTCCACGATGGAGTAGCTTTTTCAAACGTTTGAAAATGAAGGGGAACATGATATTTTTGCCAATTTCTCAGCTGGCAATAGTGAATTATAGGATTAATAGGATTATTCTTTAACAAGGTAGGACTGTTTATGGATACCATCTATATTCAGGCTTTATTTTAATAAATTTTAAAAATATAACTTAAAATTTTGCAATTTCCGCATTAATTAGGCTACTTATCAAAGTGGTGGTTTACTTTTGGACGACAGTTTATGTTAAACTATTTAGCATAATTAGACAATTGTTATATATTGAACTTGATTTCCATGAACTTTAAGATGGATTTAACAGGTTAGCAAAATAAATATACGCAAAATCAAAAATGATGCTTTTCATTTCATTTCACAGGAAGATATTCTTATTTCAAACTTCCAACTTCTCAATAAAATAACAACTTCTGGGCGCCGTGCTCAAATAGTTTTCTTACATTATTGTCTACAATAAACACTGGTGTCTGTTCTTCTCTTTTTTACAACACAAGTCACAGCAAAGTACAATAACAAAAAATGACGCCATCACCAGAATTCCCAGAACTCCTATTGTTATAGCTGAAGGTCGATTATCGTCTACACTTATAAATTTTCGTTTGTATGATGACAGATTGTGAACATCTAGTAGTTCACCAGCATAAAATAATGCTCCCTGATCTTTAATAAATAGAAACAAAATTTAATAACTTCCAAAATTACAGGCAAGTAGAATTGTTATCTTAAGTTTTTGGTTCGAGTCCTCGAGAACATAAAGAAAGTTACATTGTCTGTTTACAACTAGCTTCGCTTTAGAATTCTCAAAGTGGATAGAACTATTTACTATTGTAACATGCTTAAGGGTGAATCTTGCGTTTTGGTTGGTCAATTAGACACTGTCGATTGGACAATAACACGTACCCCTCTGTTTTAGTAATTTCTTTTAAAATGCTAAAATAGCATGTTACAATGTCGATAAATACTTCCTGTTTCGCATTTAGAGGGGTGTTATTGTGCAATAGGCATGTCCTGAGATAATAGAGACTTTTGGAAAAGGAATTTTTCCCATCCGTATCGTCACGTGATACGTTGCGTCGATGTAGTTTTAGAGTTTTGGCAGATTTTCGCGCCGCGTACGTATAAGTAGCTGAGCTGAGCTTAGTTCTATTACAGCATGATGGCAGTTATCTACCAGGATCACCATCAATGTTTGGTTTCACTAATCTATCATTTCAGAAAGTTTAAATACCCCTGTACCATTTAGCGCGTAGATCAAACAGCATGCAGACAGATGAAAAGTCCCAGAAAAACTCATCCAGAATAATGATTAAATTCCAGTCTTTAACATGGTTAAAATCACATCAAATATACACTTTCGTGTTCTAGGATACACATAGATTCATAAAAACGTCATGGCACAACATTCCAGGGTCTAAAAGTAGCAAACAGGACGGTAAAAAGACGACGATGTTATACGGACCTTTTCCGTATGAAAGCTGTTCGATACGTGCTGCCGTATCAGTGTGTCGTAAGCACGTATGAAAAATACACACACATGGATGACGTCACACGCAAAGTCGATACGGAACAGGAATTTACGCTTGCCAAAAGGCTCTATTGCGACGCTAACACGTCTTGGGTCCTAATAATCTCATGGCATGTCTATTGCACAATAACACCCCACTAAATGCGAAACAGAAAATGTTTATCTCCTAAAGGCCACCTGCAGATCCATTAAGGTCACAAGGTGTAAAGAGGGCTAGCGCTAACCCTAACCCCAGATCTAGCCCTAACCCACAATCATCGGCAACAATCACATGCCCTAACCTTGTTTACATCTTGTGACCTTGAGGAAATATGTAGGTGACCTTGGTAAATAGACCTAATATTCTCTGTTATTGGGAGTGTATAGGTGACTGGGGTGGAGATTTGATTAATATGTGTATTCAATTACAAGAGTCAGTCCAACATAAAGTTCACACTTTCAACCAGAGCATAATGGTTTGATATTAAAGGTGTGGGCTGAGGAATCCGCAGATACATGTATTATGTTTTGGAAGTGTATGGGATTGAGCATGCTTTAACAATTTTTTTCCTTTGTTGGGCAGAGTATTTTTTAAGAGAATATGGTGTGAGGCTGGGGACAGGCAGATGCCTCAATGCAGCCACAGCTTAAATACTGACCTATTGACGTTTCTTGTGTCATGCTGTACGTTGAATCTAACATACTTGTTGCTAAGGATGTCAATCGAGAAATATACTTTGGGACTTCAGTTGGTATAATGAAATTAGTTGAGACAATTGTAGACACTTCTACTGCAAACACTGAATTTGAAGGTGGTACATTTGACTGTAGGCATACGGTTGATAGCACACGTATAGTTGACATAACTGGAAATGATGGTAGTGTAGATGACATCCCTGGATATGGCTGCAGTATAGTTGACGTGTCTGGGCATGGCAGCGTTAGCGTTGACATCACTGGACATAAAGGTAGTATAGTTGACGTCACTTCGCACGAAGGTTCTTTTGTTGACGGCTCTGTACTTCTTAACATTGATGTTGTGGACGTCCCTCTGTATGCTGCAGGAGTTGGCGGTGGTACGCATGCAGTCAACGGACATGGTGGTATTGCGGTTGATGTTACGGGATATGACGGTTGTATAGTGGACGATGTGTCATCTGCCAAATCAGATCCTTGTGTTTTTGTACACTTGTTTACAGCATTATCAGTATTGATATTATTTGTTATGTCTATTGAAATGTGTTCTACTGAAATATAAGATAATCCGCTTATTACTACATAGATCAGAATACATATTTCATATAGTTATGTCCCAGTGTGGTATCACAGACCGCGGGCACCTTACCATTAGGTCATTGTGAGACTAATATACTTTAATAATTGGTTATGTGTGTAATTTTCCCACTGCCTGTTTCAATCAATCTTAAATGTGTATGGAAGAAGCCGTACCTCTGAGATTTAGATCAAAATAAAGTGTTTAATTTAGCTGATCTGGGACAAGATCTATCTCATATTGCTAATCTATATGTAGTCAACAATTTTGTCAACGTTCCTATTTCTTTGCATCTGAGGCATGATTGTAACCAGAAAACAAGTGAATAGGCTACGTTAGACAGGACACAAAAATGAATGTAGATTTTTTTAAAAAAAACAACATGCGTGCATATTCCTGAAGCAATGACCCGAGAAATCCCTATCTGGCCATTGCTGGGTTGGCTTCGGATACTTGAACTTTTGGGGGAGTGTCTATTCTTCCCGTTCAATCAAATCGGTCCCAAGTACAGAAACATGACAGCCCTTCGTTTAATCTGGGGTCTTCCCTAAAACTTTGGACAGTGATATAAGGTATAAAACACGGGGAAAGTTTTGTTCGTCTCCAAACAGTATTGTATCCGTTTAGATAGCCTCGTTTGTAACGCAATTAGTTTCTCTGCAATATTCTGCTATGCACTTGTTAATTGGGTATAATAAAATCATGACGTAACGTTATTTATACATTTGGTCCAATTTGGAGCTCTGTTTAAAGCGTAATGATATTGTTACGCAGTTAGCTAATGGTTGTTAATCGTACTATTGACCAGTCATAATTTGGAACAGAAATTTGCTTCCTTTACAGCAGTATTAAGTGGGATTAGCTCTAATCAAACGAAACACTGCGAGGAGTAGGCCCTATGCATGTGTGTGACAACAGTGTCTTTTATTCTGAACCAGATTTACACTGGTGTTACACTAGTCTATAGTCTATATACTGGTGTAATCTCTAGTGTTAAAGGACAATATTGGTGTCAGCCATTATTACATATGTAATAGAACTGGTTAAACACGTTCCAAATATAATTTTAACACAGAGATCATTGCTATGCACGGACATTTTCTATTTTTCTTTTATCTAGTGACAGTCAATTAATTATTTGAATTGTCAGATATCCTCCTACAGTCTCATATAACAACTTTTGGTCTTCAAGGAATTATTAGTGAGCAGAAATTCGCCTGTGTATCTGTTATCACTCGTCACTTTAGTCGGTTATATAGAAGGATAACTCGTGTTTTACTTTTGCGTTCGTCACTTCCCTTTCTTGAAATCTTTATAAAGCATCTATCGTAGCAATGATCTCTGTTTTAAAATTATATTTGAAACTTGTTTAACCAGTTCTATCACATATGTGATAATGACCGACAGCGGTATTGTCCTTTAACTATAGACGCTCAACGATTATAAATATGTTTCACTCCAGTGACTGGTGTCCGACAATGAGCCTACGACATCTTAATGGCATTTCTTAAACATACATTATGCGAGAGTTAAATCTGCCTATTGCCGGCCTTTCTTTAGGCCTGAAATGTTATCTAAATTATTAATTAGACGTTAAAGATACATTATTGGAGATTAGATAAAGAGCTGGCAGTTCTCACTATAATAGTTAAAAACTAGATAATGTAAAGGCAATTTGCTAAAAATTTCAGCCCAGTTGATCCACTCTGAACCGAGATTTTAGCGATTGAATTTTGGGTCTAGCCTCGATCATCATTACCAAAGTCGGTACGATAAAAAGCATAGTCTCGATTATCCATTTCATGATTAAATTATGAATGGAAGTCTAACAGGAAATCGGGACCTAATCCAATAAACATTGCTGGCTAGCGATGACATCGAGACTTGGGTATGGTCTTGATAAGTTAATTAATGTCTAATTAATAATTTAGATAACATTTCATGCCTAAAGAAAGACCTGCAATAGGCAGATTTAGCTCTTGCATAATGTATGTTTAATTAACTTATCCAGACCATAATCAACTCTCGATTTCGCTATAAATTAGTGGATTGGAATACATTTTTTGAAAAATAATTAAACGTAAAAATGGATAATTGAGACTTTGTTTTTTTATTGTACCGACTTTAGTAATGATGATCGAGGCTAGTCTAAAATTCAAAAGGTAATATCTTGGTTCAGACAGGTCAACTCTTTATCTAATCTCCCATAATGTCCCTTTAATTAAGCGGTGTCGATGTAAGAGAAAAGGTGGATGCGGTTCGGGAAGATGGGTCTTAAAAAATAAAAAGAAGTCTAACCACTGAAGCAGTTTTTCATATACACTACAGTGTTTGGGGCCTGTCTAGTTATTGAACTATCTGCACCTAATGGTATAACATCACTAGTGTATATGGAACAGTTGTTGTTTTCAAAAGCTACAGCAGTACATTCAGCATCACCAGTATCGTACCACAGACATAAATGGAAACAGTTTTCTAAAGACAGCACAAGTTGCAGTGCAGCTGCAGAATGGTTCTGTACCTGACTGTTTTCATATTTATCAAAGCTGCATGAACCTGAAAAATATAAGAATAGTGTTTATGTTTTAGAACAGGAAGATTGGCTGGGTTATAAAGGTACATCAAATGAAATGTTACCCATCGAAATTGTACCACGCAATTCAAGGTTCAGAATAAATCCATCCTAGAAAAAATGAGAAGAAAAATTAATTGGTCAATCGCAGTAATAATGTAACAACGACACAGAGAGGGAGAACAATTGGGCTTAACGTCCACTCGACACAAACTAGGTCATTTTGGAACTAACATACGGTTCAATTTTATTTCAACAATTCGCTTGCGGGTAGGGGTGTTTAGAAGTGGGAGGACCTGGAGAAAACCAACGAAGTTTGACAGGCAACCCTCCTTGTCACGAACAAGCGGGAAATAGAAACCATGCCAGTTGACTCTATGCCAGACCTTCTGATTCAACACGCACGCGTTAACAATTTGCCCCCCCCCCCAAATAACGATACAAGTTTGAGCAGCACGGATTTTGACCGAACCGTCCCCCTTCCCCCTCCATCAGATCAAGTAAGCGCCCCCGTGAGATAAAGTCCTTTCAGGCCCAGTCCCAAAAGATTAAAAACTCAGTTACATCAAAAGTATTTTCGCGCTCAATTCTATTATGTCATCATTATTCGTCGACTCCTCTGTCTTATACTATTTCATCGCTATCATATTAAAGGCAGCCTCAAGATTCTGTCCCATTTCTCATCCTCTCGTTCACGAGAATTTGCTCCCATTTGCCATGTCATTGACTAAAATTTTCAGGCCCAGTCTCAAACAATTAAAAGCCCAGTAACATATTATGAGGTTTTTCTGTCGAGGGTTTTTTCTGAAGTCTTTCTTCCCAAGCATAACCGAAGTCGAGGACTTTATCTTGCTTATAAACAGCATAACGGCAAGTTATTCCGGACATAGAATATATCCCAAAGATCAAAGAGATTTGCCGTTGCAGGTTTATAAACTTAGATACAAACCTTTTTGTGTTTCGCAAACTATCTGGAATGTTCTGTTGCACTCTTTATCGGCAAGGCCAAAGCAGTCGAGACGAAGACAATTCTGATCTTCCCTTGGATTGTTTTGATTTTTCCATGGTGGATACAAATTGACCTTAGACCCATCTGTCCACGTCCAGTCTCCGCCTCCAGGTGTAACATCATATACACCCGTCCACATGTTTGGACCCCTTTAAAAGATTGTTATAAATCAATAAGTTCCACATTTTCAAATCACTATCGCATAATAATATACTGCTTTTCAACCCGCTGATTTATGTAGTCTAATTGATGTTATAGTCTACGATATGCATAGCCCCTCAACTCTTTCTCATATGGTTAACACAACTTTATTTTCATTATGCGACTTTATGAAATAAGCCATCTCTTTGCGATTGAGCAAATCACACAAGAATATTGTCCATATGGTTCCTTCGTAATAAAATACAAAACCTAAGTAAAACGAAATGAATCGAAAATAATGATGCGCTATACGACCAAAACAAGGAAATGTGTGCCCTATATATTAAAGATGCATTATGTAAGAGCTATATCTGCCTATTACAGATCTTTATTTTAGCTTCAAATGTTATATATACTAAGCAGCAAAAGAAACGTCAGGTTGGTATGTTACTCTAAATAAAACTTGCCAAATGTTTTTATTGTATATTTGTAACCACAACTCCAACTTTACCTGAGCAGTAAGGCTCCGAGTCCTTCCCAAACACAGAATTGAACCCAGGAAATGTTCTCAAAAACGCAACCTGACTTCTGAGATGGCAATGTGTTCTTCATGATTTTCATGTAACTTATGCTGCAGGTGCTGTTCACCGGGACCAGTCCTATAAAATGCACCCCCATACCTGGTTGAATCATTCATACTACAACGTCAGCAGCATGCAACGACTCACGACAGCTGAGAGGAACCAAGCGCTTGGAAGATTCGGCGCTGGCCACATCGCCCAGCGCCCAAGCCGTTGCCAATCACTTCCAGGTCAATGTTCGGACCATCTACAGACTTCAGCAACGCTTTCGGGCCACCATCACCACGGATGATCGAGCCCGAACTGGTAGATCAAGGGTCACCCCTCGCCATCGACATGAACATCTACAGTTTGCCCAACAACACCAGAACTGGCGACACAGGCAATGGAGAATTGTTCTGTTCACAGATGAGAGTCGGTATTGCGTATCAACTGCAGATGGCAGGGTCAGAATATGGCGTCGACGTGGCTAGCGTCAATGTGTCATGGAACAAGACTCATGGGGAGGTCCAAGCATGGCAACGCCCGTTCCCACAGCGCCAGAGTTACTCGGGATTTTTTACAGCAGAACGGTGTCAACATTATGCACTGGCCAGCCCTTAGTCCGGACTTAAACCCAATTGAACATCTTTGGGATGAAATTCATAGGAGACTTAATAACGTCATACCGAGACCAAACACAGCCGATGGATTGCGCCAGGATTTTCTGAGAGTGTAGTTCCAGGTCCACTCGGCGTACAGACTCTAAAACTTCTAGTAATGTCTTGGAATTGTGATGAATTAATCACTAATATGTGTCAACATACTGTTTACAAAAAATTGCTTTGATCCATTTAGTAAGTCGTTTTCTAGAATGATTTGATTAAAGTGCCTCTCTGATTTTGAAATCTTACTGACGTTTTTTTGGTTTTTTTGGGGTTTTTTGAGGGTGTTGGGGGGGGGGGGTTGTTGTTTAATATACTATTTATAAACTATTATTTAGACATTAAAAAACAACTCTGTAGACCATCGGATGATCGAGTTTAAATGGGTTTTAACACCACGCGAGATTTGACAATAAAAATGGATAATGGAGACTTAGTCTCGATTGTCAAGTACCGTTGCTATAATAATAAACAATCTATATGCGTTTCATCTTCAGACACTCATAACTTCGCTCAGTATACACTACTTTGAATGAAATAATCCAATATATTCATTTTTCGTCAATCTAATTAAAATATAGATCTATATTTCGTTTCGTTTTTTATACTTTCGATGGCCTACACTACGTGTAGATCTAACAAGTTATAGAGGGAGTTCACGTTCTATGACGTCAGGTACCAAGCAAGCGACATTTGACCCGATTACGTCAGTCATTCGATTAACCAAAAAGCGACAGCCATGTATTTTTAATCTACTTTTGCTTTGTTTTGATTTCTATTGCCGCTAATGTCTACCCACAGTTCCGCGCCAAAAAGGTCAAGCGCTCGATTGGACAGACCATTTGATTGGCTGACCCCTCATTTCAAGCAGAACACGAGTTAAATAACAACGCTTCCAGATCCAAGTGTAGTAAAGACAAATAAAATCGAAATTTTAAACTATAAAAACGAAACGAAATTGGGTCTGTGTTTTAATCAGATTGATTTTTCGTCATCGATTTTTGAAATATTATAACGGTCAGCTCTTTATCTAAATATTGCATAATGCATCTTTAATGATGGATAACCTGATTGACATAGGGATGTATGGCATTACCACGGGATTGACTGATTTAAAACACGAAGAATTTTTCGCCTTCCATTTCATGGTCAAAAATGGTTAAAACTCAATTTTATGAAATAAGTTAGCAAACTGGCTGCATTTTTCACAATCTGCTTCCATGATAACACGGCAACATGTTTCCAATGGAGACCAAAGATAGAAAAATATATTCTGCAACCGATCAATTTTGATACCAAACTTGGCTATCATTATGATATCGACCGCTTTAAATTTCTGTTTCAAAAGCTTTTTATTGTTGATGTATTCCAACCACTATCTAAAGCTCGAAAAATTAGATTGACTTTGGATGTTTCTTTGGACTGTTAATGATACTAACTAACATATGGTTATAAATTTAAATATGTGTACTCTGTTATATTTTGGTTATAAAAGTGTACGGGTGATGTCGTGTTATCGGAAGTCAAATTCTGGAAATTTTCACAGAACCCCAAAACACCGGAAACCGTGTTTCGCAAATAAAACCTTAAAGTATGCACTGATACCCGCACTAAATACACCACTATTCGTGTACTTCTCAAATGTATTTTAACTCAATATTATATTTGTTTATTGATTGATCTGGCGTTTATGGAGTTAAGGTTTCGTCAATGCGATCATGTACTAAAGAATTAACCAAGGTTACATTTCAGGTAAAATATACACGGTTTTGTTACGTAAATTTGTGCCTTACCCTATATAGTTTAAACAATATTTTATTCATTTGAAAAGGATTGAACAACAGGCAAAGCCGATATAAGTTCTTTCCCTATATTTAGATTTCAATGGCGTCTGCCAAGCCGTTTAGCAGAAGGGGACACGGAGTGCCTCATCCCGGAGATACGCCCATAATGCCGAGATTGGTGGGCCACCCACGACGAAATCCACCATCAGAAAGACAACTGGAGATTGTAAGAAATTTTCCAGGTTAAATTCACGCTGGGGATGGGATTGATTCAAGGCCGCGCCAGGCGTGATAATCTTCAAAATTCAAACAAGTCGCACAGTCTAACCCGATTCGTTTTTCTCCTTAATTATTATAGGTACGCTAAAGTCGTATTCCTTCCTTCAATTTTTATAATGTTAATATCAAAATATCATAATTCGAAAATATGCAAGTTCGGTGCAAACCCTATTTTCCAAAATTTTCTCGGGTAGATCACCCTAGACCCTTCTCTGAAGGAAGACGCCCCCTTGCCCCCACCCCCAACATTTTTGGGCTAGCTACGGGCCTGGTTTTTAAAAAATATCATAAAGAACTTTGCCAAGAAATTATATTGTACGCATTATAGCGATAGGGCCTTTATTAGATTCAAAATTTTAAATTTTTAATGTCGTGCTATCGTCTAATGTTTAACTTCTATTCGTGTAATTTCTAAATTAAGGCAATGTATAATCCAATTTCTTTATTTGTTCAGTTCTATTTCATCTTATTTCTATTATTAAGACGAAAAATGTCTTCTTCTTTGCCGCTTTACATGTTTAGCATGAACATAAATTATACTTCTCAAAATCCCGCACTTATGTCTTCAAATAAATCAACAAATGTTGTAAAAGCTATTTGACATAGTATTTACAAACTATATCATGTTCGATATTGTTTCAATATGAGCACTCTGTCCAACCATTCTACCAGACAAAGAGCGGGTCGTTTATATCAACGTAATGGTTCTGACCAGGCGCGGGGTTCACGGTGGCCAAGAGGGTAAGACGCTGGCTCGCTAGCCTGGAGGTCGGGAGTTCGATCCCTGCATTGGCCGAGAAAGTTCATCCAGATTTTCCGGCGTGGTCCCCCCTTGTCAGTGATGCAGGACGGAGGGCCTGACAAGGACAGCTGTCTATAGTCGTTCGGATGAGACGAAAACCCGAGGCCCCGTGTACACATTGGCGTGTACGTAATAGATCCCTTGACAGTTGGAATTTGATATAAGAGTAGGCCGTAGTGCCGCTGTCCGGGCAAATTTCCCTCATAGCACACTGTATGGCGTATGCCCGTCTTCATTAGCCCAGTTCGGAGAAGAAAAGTAGGACGTTTAAACTCATTCCATTTTATTTCATTTCTGACCAGGCGCTCAATCGCCAAATTTATACCTACCAAACGGATACAGACCACCAAATATTCCTAGGGGGAAAGTTATGTAAAGCGTCAACGAAGAAGACATTTTTCCTCTTAATAATAGAAATAAGATGAAATAGAATTAAAATTTACGCTGAACATATAAAGAAATTGGAATATACATTGTCTTAATTTAGAAATTACATGAATAGAAGTTAGAATTTCGACTGTAGCACGACATTCACAAATTTAGAATTTTTAATCTAATATACCGCCATAACGCATGGCGTTCACAAGCTTTCTAAAGATTGAATGTAAACATTAAGTTGACGTATAAAAATTGAATCTAACATCTAACTTGCTGAACTTTCAAATGAAATGTTTTGTCTAATACCCTATAGGCTTTTGTCTATAGGAAAAGGGAAAGGGCCTCTTCTCTGATATATTTAAGGAATGTTTGAAGAGACATTATATATATAAGGAAAGATAACAGTAGACATTCGATTTTATTATGTTAACGCATTTAGTCAATATAAAAAAAAGACAATACATTTCGTTTTGCAACATAGTATTTATTCTGAAGAAGCAATAACATTGTTCTTTAATTTGAGCAAAAGGCCTGATTATTTTGCCATTCAAAATTAAAAATTTTAGTCGCACACATAATATTATTGTAAACACTCATTAAAAATGATTGGCTTTCGCCTTTTTATGTAAATATTTTTTTAAAGGTATGGTGGATGTCGGGTTCCAGACCAAATTAAAGCATTAAGGCATTAGGAACATTCTAAAAAAAAAGTTGAAAATTATGCATGATACCAAGGACCTACCATGGCCTTTAGCCCATGGATAATGCCTGTTATCTCATGACAATGTATTACTTAGTTTTGTCTTTTTCCAATGGACTAGTAACAAAATAAGATCATAGGTGAAATGTTCTATAATAACTGGCATCTCGCATGAAGACGAAACGAAACAAGATGATTCGGTCCGGGGCGTGGTGAAAATGAGAAGGTTACATAAAATGAAATGAAATGAAACGGGGTTTAACGTCCTACTGTTCTGCTCCTATACTGGGCTAATGAAGATGGGCATACGCCATACAGTGTGCAATGTGGGAAATTTTGTCCGACCAGCGGCGCTACGGTCTACTCGATTTCCAACTGTCAACTGGTCAAGGGTTCTTTTATATGGAAGTATAACTTTGCCAATATTATTTAATTGGTCACGGTGCAAATTGCAATAATGTCAGTAGTTCAAAATACGTATTTTAGTTTTACAATTTGCAATTTCCATTGCTCAACAATACAAATGCCACTGTGTTAAAATACAGAATACACTTTTCAATAATACAAAATACAGTAGACTAGTTATTTTGCACATTACACTTCTGCATTCTGCATTTTGCATAATAGACAAATGCATAATAGAACCTTGCATAGTAGAACATATACCTTATATGGGATCTACGACGAACGTCATTTGCATACGGAAAAAAGTCCGGACTATGACGGAAATTAATGATTTATGCGGTAAAGCCATCAGGTCACCTGGATACGAAATGAAGTTAGCACACATATTCCTAGCGCCAATAAAAACCTAGATATAATTATCACGAAAATACTTTATATTAGAAAACGACATATTAATGCAAAGTATATATGTAAAAGACCCCACCCCCCTCCTCCCTCCCTCATGAAAAAAAAAATATTATTACCGTAAACATACTAAAATATCGCACACTAGGCTAACTGAGCACACAGAAAAGGGATACGCCCTCGCTGCATCAAATCGCACCGAAACCAGCTTTGGTGGCAAAATGTTTTTTTGTTTCATGGAATCAAGGGATGAATAATCTACCAGAATACAAATTTTCAGAAGCTTCCTAAGCTGGCTTTTAGAGAAATTTCACCGTAAACATACTAAAACCATGGGGGGATCGGGTAAGGATAGGCTCATGGCGCACGCAATAACTTATAAAATAGCTTGGTGGCTCCAAGATCTTTATTTCACCAAATCAACAGATGGATAAGATATGAACAGGCCAATTTTCATTTACTTTCTATGTTGGCGTATCGAGTTATACCACCGCAAAGTTCCCAGCACCTGGATTCGAGGCGGGGTTCGCGGGTGCAATAAACAAGGGGTACGTCCACACTGCACCAATAAGCACTCCAAACTGGCTTTGGTGGCAAAATGTTATGTATTTCACGGAGTCAAGGGATGAATTAACTACTAGAATACAAAAATCCAGATATATGTTGGCGTATCGAGATATACCACCGCAAAGTAACTAGCACCCGGATTCGAGACGGGGTTCGTGGGTTCAATAAATAAGGGGTACGTCCACGCTGCATCATTGTCTGCGATATCACCTCGGTGGAAGCGGACGTAAAATACAACTAACACTAACTAACTAACGCTGCATCAAAAAGCACCCAACCAGCTTTGGTGGCAAACTGTTTTGTATTTCACAGAGTCAAGGGTTGAATAAACTACCAGAATACAAAAATCCAGAAGCCTCGTATGCTGGCTTTTTGAGATATATTACCGTAAACATGCTAAAAATATGGGGGAGGCGTGTTAGGGCAGACTCACTGCGCACGCAATAACGTCTAAACTAGCTTTGGTGGCTCCAGGATCTTTATTTCACCCAATTGACAGGTGCATAAGGTATGAACATGCCAAATGTCCTTAACTTTCTATGTTGGCGTATCGAGTTATACCACCGAAAAGTTCCTAGCATCATTATTCGAGGCGAGGTTCGTGGGAACAATAAACAAGAGGTACGCCCGCGCTGCATCAAAAAGCCCCCAAACCAGCTTTAGTGGCAAAATGTTTTTTGTTTCACAAACTCAAGGGATGAATAAACTACTAGACTGCACAATTTCAGAAGCCTCCTACGTTGGCTTTTCGAGATATACTACCGTAAACGTACTAAATATGTGAGAGAATCGGGATAGGGTAGGCTCGCTGCGCACACAATAACTTCTAAATTAACTTTGGTGGCTCCAAGATCTTTATTTCACCAAATCGATAGATGCATAAGGTGTGAACATGCCAAATTTCATTAACTTTCTATGTTGGGGTATCGAAAAGTTCTCAGCACCGGATTCGAGGCGGGGTTCGTGGGTACAATAAACAAGGGGTACGCCCACGTTTCATCAAAAAGCACCCGAACCAGCTTTGGTGGCAACATGTTTTGTATTTCACAGAGTCAAGGGATGGATAAACTACGAGAATACAAAAATCCAGAAGCCTTCTATGCTGGCTTTTGACGATATATTACCGTAAACTTACTAAATATGCGCACCCAATAGCTTCTAAACTAGCTTTGGTGGCTCATCATCGTCATCATCATCATCATCATCATCATCACCTTTTGGCCAATCGGATTTTCTAAACAGGAATTCACGGCATTTATTAGATCTTTATTTCAGCAAATTTCTTTGGGGGGGGGAGGGAGGTCTATTACACATTATTATATACTTTGCATTAATATGTCTTAAAATGCTATTTTCTAATATAAAGGTAACAATTATTTTCCTGATAATTATATCGAGGTTTTTAATTGGCACTAGGAATATGTGTGCTAACTTCATTTCGAATCCGGGTGCTGGAATACGGGTGAGAGATTCCGCTCGGTTACTATAAGATTCTTTAAACTTACCCAAAAAAGGGGTTTTAGAGACCTATCAATTAAATAAGATATTCAATTTAATTTTTAACAAGAAATTGATTCACTTGAAATATCTGTTTTTTTTACCGATGAGAACAAATAAGAATAGTCGCGTTAAACCAGACTATTATCTTTCAGAATCCTCTAATCGTCGAACTGATTACATTATAGAGCCTGGACGTTGAAGACTAACAAAATCGAGTACTGCCCCCCCCCCCTTCTAATGACCTCGGTCTTATGGCTTTATCGCGTAAATCATTAATTTCCGTCATAGTCCGGATTTTTTTCCGTATTATGCATTTGTCTATTATGCAAAATGCAGAATGCAGAAGTGTAATGTGCAAAATAACTATTATACTGTATTTTGTATTATTGAAAAGTGTATTCTGTATTTTAACACCGTGACAGTGGTATTGTTGAGCAATGGAAATTGTAAATTGTAAAACTAAAATACGTATTTTGAACTACTGACATTTGCAGTTTGCACCGTGAACAATGAAATAATATTGGCAACGTTATACTTCCATACTTTTACGCGCACGTCAATGTGTACACGGGGCCTCGGCTGTTGTCCCATCCGAACGACTGTACTTGAGTGCAATACACTTGCGCCACTACCAGAGTGACTTCTGCGCCTCTTTTGCTATCATTTTTGCGCCAGAAATCAAAGTGTTTTTTTTTGTTTTTTTGTTTTTTTTGCAAAGCATATAAACTTCTTCATACTCAAAAACAATAATAAAAAAATAATAATACCACTATCATTTTTGAAGTAGATGAATTTTTAAGTCCAATGAGCTTTTTGATCGTTGTTGCGGAGGCGGAGGGGGGGGGGGGGCTCGGGGAAAATACTGTCATTATCGGCATATCAGAATAGGGCACAATATTGTTTTCAGAATGATCGTGATTTTTTCGTAACATATTATTGTATGTTCTAAGTGCTTATTTTTTTAACGAAACAATCATTCTCATTTCCCATATCTTTCGTTAAACAATTTGACTTTCCTATTTTAATTTTTATTACCCGAAAGGGGACATGCATGTCAAATGCAAGTTCAAGGTAAGGGTAATTATTGCGCAACAATGTCTCGGCCGCACTCAAGCCCAAACGACTATCACCAGGCCCCAGATTCTGTCACAAATATTTCCATATAGCAAAAGGAACAGCGGTTAAAATAGGTTGAAGCTAGTACAGAGTTTCCCCCAAAAAAATAATAGTAATTTAGGGCATAAGTACAGTGCATCCGGTCATATTGATATGGGGAATATAAAACCAAAATCAAAATAGGCCTATCTACGCTAGATAATGTTAAGGCTCGGTTTTAAAACAGGATTATCATTAAATTTTCGTGGACAACAAACTTGCGACGGGCTTATTACATAGCGACGAGTATAGATCGATGAAATTTCAATTGGCTATAATTTGTACATACTAAAAGGGAATTGCAACATCCTATAGACATCCCTCTTTCTGTCTTTCACAACAATTTAGTTTGCAAGGGTTTTCTATAGCGCCAAATAGCACATCGGCACTTTAATCCATTAATATTCATTGATTTAAGGCATACGTCGAGAATTTAGCTATAAGCCTATAGGACACAGCCAGAAGGGTTATTTGCAAATATTGACTTACGTTAGGCATAGATGTTTTTCTAACTTTAGTAATTGGTTATATTTATATTCGGTGTCCGGTTGCACCATTCGTCCATTCATATTGCAACATATTTGGTAAGCATCGTTCCATGTCCCAGATGAGCTGACTTTAATTAAAGCTGTATTTTTTGTGGGAAGCGCCAACGATGATTCTAGTTTTAAAAATACAAAGAAAACAGAATCATATAACAGATAAAAAAAAAATGCAAACTACAATGAGGCTGATGTCCCCCGCCACATTCCCAAAATAAATAGATAACACATATTAATCAATTGTACATAAATTGATTCAGTCAAGGGTTTTGAAGTACCTGGCAATGAAACTCTACAATAAATTTCATTAAGTTAGAATTAAAGTTATCTTATCCCAAAGCATCGACTTAAGCAGACAATTTTCGTGACTTACAGTAAGTAATGATAAATACATTCTGAAAAATGGACCCTCCCACAACGAAGCTAAGTTGACAGACATTGCGTTTAACAACAGCTTACTTATAGCTATAGGTATCCCCGACGAATACGAAGTTTTGAGAGGGAATTGAAGCAAATTTTTGATAGATTGGTTACTTTGAATATGTTTTTAGTCCAAATATATCATTAAATCACAAAGTTTGTACGCGGGAATGTATCTTTAAATACAGGAAACTACAATATCTGTGATAGTACTTTTCGAGTTATTAAAATATCCATGGTCTGAGTTTAATATCCCTTCTAACTCAGACCTAACGGCTTAAACGTGGCAAGAGCCACATACTTATAGATAGTTCTACATAAGGCTGGCGCTAGGATGATGTGTTCACCATAGCCTCTAAGCCGTGGAGGCTATATGGGTGTAATGTTCCCCTGAGCTCTGAATGATGGTCTGAGGGTAAATCAAACCAGCTCTCTCCTATAAAGAAAGTATATTGCGTCATCTATTAGGGCGGGACAATTACCATTTTTGGGTAAGTGTTTCGTATAGGCACCGTTTTACGTGAACGCTATTCTAGTTAATTGTACTAATCCGTGCACGAGATGACTGGACTATACTTCCAGCAATGGATACTGACATAACTGTCTGTGAGTTAGTCTAAGATAGTAGTAGAATAATGCAAGCTACTTCATTACCCTAGTTTTCGTCACACATCATGTAGGAAACGAATTTCTATATTAAACAGAACACCATATAGAACTAAAATAAACCCTATATTACAAACCAATTAAATTGCTTATCTATGGTTTGCCTTAGAGGAAAATGAGCATAATCGAACACTGTCAAGGCCTAGAAATCCTGGTTAGATCTATTTCATAAGGCCAACTTCAAGTTAGGTCAATGGTCACGAGATGTAAACAAGGCTAGCGCTAATCCAAACCCTAACCCTGGACCGAGCCCTAACTCTTACCCCTAAAAACCTTACACTTACCCTACCGTATGATTCGTAATTTTCTGCTAATAGACGTTAAATCATACGACGAACTTTTGGAAATGCATGTTACACCTCTAGATATGTACAGTGCTACTTAAGAATTAATGTTTAACTAATCAACATGATCATCATGTACATCAACATTATAACAAGACCCTGATGACTGATTTACAGCATCTTGCTTTCCAGCTTCTTTCAGCCGAGTATTTTTTTTAAAGTGGGACCTTAAACCTCATTTCTCTCTCTCAACCAACGTGGATATACACGCCCTATGACATCTATGACAGAAAGGCTGATATTGTTTATTGAGGGCACTCCTCCAGTCGTAACACATGAAAGGGAGAGTTTCGAGCTAAAAGGAATTATTCTATTATGTTTTAAATTTTGCCGTGGGTGAATTTTCTTTATGGTGTCTATAACAATAGCAATAAAGAAAGCAGCATATTATGTCTGTTAGCAAAAATAATAACCTTTACACAACACACACAAACCGAGTCTAAAACAAACACGTTAAAACATTTAATCAATTTGATGTGTAGGATGAAGGACAATCTATATAATTTTGCTTAAAATTTAAATAATTTTAGAAAATTGTCGTCATATCAAAATCATTCTTTATGGTGATATACCCGATTATTAATTTGGGTTATACAAAGTTCTAAGGGTTAAACACGTTTACTATGACGGCATATTAGATTCAAAATACTAACATGCTATAGTTTAATTTCGAACTTCTATTCATGTAATTTCGAATTTCTATTCATGTAATTTCGAACTTCTATTCATATAATTTCTAAATTAAAGGAGCTAAACCGCTAATATAATAATATGAATGTATATAAACTGATTTACATTCAATCCTTTCCGTTTTTACTCTAATTTCAAACCAGTCATGCTCGACTGGCAATCTCTAATGTCGGTTATTCCAGTCTACACAAATAGTATTTATTGCGCATGCTCTTGAGATAAGAATATGACGTAACCGTTTGACATGACTTGTGGAATATGTCTAGTCTCGTTCTTCGAGTCCCTTGTTACAAATGGCGCTGAAACGCTTACACAATTCGTGTACCAATGGTAAAATGTTTATTTTATCTTAAATATTGGATATCAAAATCCCATCTTTTCCCGGTAAGATCACAACAGCAATGTTGATTTAAACTAATTTTAGTTTTCAATGTCGAAGACTTTAAATGATATCGCGTTAGAGACTAAGCTATTTTTAGACAATGTATAATCCAACTTCTTTATTTGTTCAGTGTAAATTTTAATTCTGTTTCATCTTTTTTCCATTATTAAGACGAAAAATGTCTACTTCATTGTCGCTTTACATGTTAATCATGAACGTCGAACAAATTTAGAATTTTGATACTTTTTACCTAGCAACTTTGGAAGCATATTGCGGCCATTTCATAATCTCGAGTTCTCGCCGTGAGAAGTCAAGAGAGCGAGAAGTCGAGGGCGTGAGTGACAGCACGCGTGGAAACCGAGCGAGAAAGCGAGGATCTCGCCCCCGAGAAAACAAGACTATTTTGACCTCGACTTTTCGCTCCCCCGTCCCTCGACTTCTCGCTCCCTCGCCTTTAAAAATCCTCGTCTTCTCGCTCCCTTGCCTTTAAAAATCCTCGACTTCTCGGTCGCTCGCGTTTGATTTTTTTTCGACTTCTCACTCTCTCGCTTCGTCACAATCTCGGCTTATCGCTCCTCGCGTTCTCACCTCGGAAGTGCGCATAAACATGGATTCAAATAGATGGAAATGTTTGGGGTTCTAGAAAGTTTAATAGTTCTAACCAATTTTAATCTGTTCTTGCACAGATAGTATTGTATTCTATACTCGATTTTAAGTCTTCAGTCGAACCTTTCTTTGCTCTCTAACTACATCAAGGTTCATTGGGATTTTTCATGCGTGGTCCCTCCTTGTCAGTGGTGTAGGACGGAGTGGCTCAGTAAGTCGGATGTTCGCTCTCTAACATCATCAAAATTCATCGGGATTTTCCATGCGTGGTCCCCCCTTGTCAGTGGTGTAGGAAGGAATGCCTGGCAAAGGACAACGTATAGTCATTCGGATGGGATAGAAAAAAAACGAGGTCCCGTGGCTCAATGAGTAGGAAGTTTGCTCTCTTACTTGATTAAACTCATCAGGCTTTTTCTGGCTGGTTCACTCTTGTCAGTGGTGTAGGGCGGAGGACCAGGCAACGGACAACGTATAGTCGTTTGAATGGGATAAAAAAAAAAACCCGAGGTCCTGTGTCCGAAATCAAAATGAAATGGGAGCTACGGTGGCTCTGGGAGTAGGACGTTTGCCCGCTAACTTCATCAAAGTTCATTGGGATTTTTCTGGTTGGGTTCATTCTTGTCAATGGTGTAGGACAGAGGACCTAGCAAGAGACAACGTGTAGTCGTTCGGATGGGACAGAAAAAACTGAGGTCCCGTATCCGGATTCGAAATGAAGTGGGAGCTACGGTGGCCCAGTGAGTAGTACGTTTGCTCGCTAACTTCATCAAAGTTCATCGGGATTTTTCTGGCAGGGTTCACCCTTGTCAGTGGTGTAGGACGAAGGGCCCGGCAAGGGATAACGTATAGTCGTTCAAGTGGGATATAAAATGAAATGGGAGCTACGTTGACTCAATGAGTAGGACGTTTGCTCGGTAACTTCATTAAATTTCGTTGGGATTTATCAGGCGGGGCTCACTCTTGTCAGTGCTGTAAGACGAAGGGTTCAGCAAGGGATAACGTATAGTCGTTCAAATGGGATATAAAAAAAGCAGAGGTCCCGTGTCCGGATTCGAATTGAAGTGGGGGCTTGAAGTGAGTAGGACGTTTGCTCGCTAACTTCATCAAAGTTCATTGGGATTTTTCTGGTGGGTTTCAGCCATGTTAGGGGTATAGGACGGAGAGCCTTGCAGGGGACAACGTATAGTCGTTGGGATGGGACAAAAAACTGAGGTCCCGTGTACACATTGGCTTACAGGAATTGAACACACCATGTTATGGGTCAGCAGATTCACAGACTGTAGAAAACTTTCGTAGCAGGATTCATTTAAAACTGGTTAGCAGACAGAGTTCATACGTGTTAACGGGTATTTCCAGTCTTTTTCGGTCCCAGCTTAGCAGCAAAAGTAGTAACAGGCTCCATTCGTCAGAAAAGAAATCAAATTTTATGGACCGTTGAAGAAGACGGAAATGGGGGTGAGCTTGCAGGGTCCTGTTGTGATCGAGGGTATTTCTCCAAGTCCCACTTGGTGTTCCAAGGCGTCCAGAATAATGTCAATGTTACCTATTTTGAAGTCTAAAGCATAATCTGAGCCGTTGGCACGGCAAAACAGCAATATATTATGACGGGGGATTTGAGTCAAAAGTCAGTGCTATGTTGTTAGTGCTTTTACATCTACAATGTTGCAAATGTTGAATGTAATTTGTAAATTGGAGGACGTTAAATTTAACAAAATATTGTAATACTGACAATTACATCGTGTAAATTGACATCTACGTTTTGTCATTAAACATTTCACATTAGACATTTCACAATTTCCACAACACGCTTAACTCCATCTACCCAGATCTTTAAATACTGGAACTCTCACATCTCATATGACACGCGCACTATGTATTGTGCCGTTCAACATTTCACTTTTACATCGTAACACAGAACTCACGACATGCAATTAGCCAGTATGCAAATAAGTTCAGACGGTACCTATTTTTAATCACGTGACATCTCGCGTGAAGAAAACATAATTTTCAAGCAGGGAATTTCCCCCGGCATGAGACCTGCAACCGGGTGTTGATTTCATGATTTTTTTCTACATAAAGAAAGAAAAGTAAAATATCTCGGCTTTTTTTAATTTTTTTCTACATAAAGAAAGAAAAGTAAAATATCTCGGCTTCCACATATAACACAAGAGATTGTTCGTAGAATTCATAGACTTTCCTACGAAGACATGGACATAGAAAGTTGCCACAACAACCATCCTGCCCTTCATGAGAAGTATACATAATACAAAATATAAGAATGAACAATGGCTCATGGATGGGTATTATATAATTTATAAACAGGATAGCATTAGAATGCAAAAGATGACAGCAAAAAAAGGGGCAGTCATACAGCTTAGATCTCGCGTGGTTAAAAATAGGTACAGTGTGAACTAATTTGCATACTGGCTAATTTCATTACTTGTTCTGTGTTACGATACACAAGACATATGTCGAAGGGTACAATACATAGGGCGAGTGTCAAATGAGAAGATGTTAGAGTTCAGTGTTTAAAGTTCTGGGTAGATGGACTTCGGCTTGTTGTGAAATGTTTAATGACAAAAAGTAGATGTCATTTTACACGATGTAATTGTCAGTATTACAGGATTTTTATTTTTTTCTTTTGACTTAGTCCAATTTACACATTACATTCAACATTTGCAACATTGGACATGTAATAGCACTAACAACATAGCACTGACTTTGACTCAAATCCCCCGTCATAATATATAAGTTAAAACCCGCTGGTAGTACGGTACACACAAATTTACAAATTTACACGCTCACACACACAACCCTTCACACTTAGGAGTCGAAACAATTCAATAAAGTAAAACAAACTTTATTTTAACCTATAAATAAAATAATTTATTATAACTTTCCTCTCCCGTTTCTGAACGAAAAAGTTTAAACATTGGCAATTAAATAATACGAAATTTGTATCCGTACTACCAATTGTTGTGATCGAGGGTATTTCTCCAAGTCCCGCTTGGTGTTCCAAGAGTCCGCAATAATGTTAATGTTACCTATTTGAAGTCTAAAGCATAATCTGCGCCGTTGGCACGGCAAAACAGCCATATGTAGGTTAAATCCCGCTGGTAGTACGGGACTTCGTGGAAAGATGGAAGTAGTCCCGGTTATCCTGACGGACACCTGTATTGTACAAGGCAAAATCACAACAAACCCGACTAATCTTGTTGTTGTCATGCATGGTTTCTGAATTGTTGTTATTGCTTGTCTATATATAATTGCTCTACACATTTGTTACTGTACTTGCTTGAAAACGTTGAGAGAATACTCTTCGAAACGTCGCCCAAATAAATCAGTAATTGTTCTTCCATAAGTATGTGTTATAGTTTATTACCCGACTAATCGTATAACCGGATTAGATTTACTGATAGCACTGTTCATATTCTTTATTATATTTGATTTTAGTTGTTACACCGTTGTATATGAATAACATTGGTTACATGTTATATTGGTTATATTGGTTGATCTGAAATACAATAAAACATACAACTAACAAACTGACACACACATCTGACTTCCGAGAGAATTGGCCCTATCATTGAATATTGATACATAAGCTACATTAAAAATCAACTAGGCACTATAAGCGACTGTTGACTTCCACTTAGTTTAAATCAGATATTAATATGTAACAGGCATTGCCTGAGTAGAGTGAAGCTGATTATTGTCAAATATAAAACCTTCATAATTAATTTTCTCAAGTGATACAAAAAATGTTAAATAATTTAGTTTTTCAAAATTGATTTTTATTTAGATCTAAATGTTATACATTAATTTTGTTTTTAAAAAAAGAACAAAAAAGTGTGAGAATTATTTTCATTGACGTAAAAAATATGTGACGTCATTGATTAGACGCGTCATAGAAATAGTTCTACGAGGCGCGTAATCTCGCTTGGGCGAGATTTGGTGTCTATATTTCTTAGACCATAGAACTAGAATACTAACGTTAGTATTCTAGTTCTATGCTTAGACTGAACAACCTGCTCTAAATGACGTCAGGCTGGTTCCTACGTCACTGCGCTATTCTGACTTCAATATAGAGTGACGTAGGAGCGAGTCTGACGTATTAGAGCAGGTTATCCAGTCTATATATTTCTATGTATAATTATAGACTGGACAACCTGCTCCAAATGACGTCAGGCTGGTTCCTACGTCACTGCGCTATTCTGGCTTCATATATGCAAGTCAGAAAAGGAGTGACGTAGGAGCGAGTCTGACGTATTAGAGCAGGTTATCCAGTCCATAGAAATATATAAATAGACTAGAATGGCCACGGCCAATCAAAAGCCGCTTTCGCGACATTTATATATTTCTATGATCCAGTCTATGTATAATTATTTTTGTTAGTTACGTGATCTCGCTTGGGCGAGATTTGGTAAGTTGACATGCGCATTGCCTGTTTTGCCCAGTGTATCCGGTTCCGGTCTGAATTTTTTTTTAATCAACAGTCTGTGGGTGACATTTTCAATTGCGCTCCTATGTTACCGGAAAAGAGCTTTGCGCGGTGCTTTTAGACCGGAGGCTCAGCGCGGGGGGAGGGGGTGTCCATCAAATGGGCACAAAACCAGACCCTACTTTTCTAGAGTAAAATTTTGCGTAGAATACGATGCCGAGTGGTAATCAGTCCGCCGCTGGGGCGTTTTCGAGATATTCGGGGTCAAAGGTCAAATGAGTTCATTTGCACTGAAAGTGAATGCACAATCATTCTTGTATTAGGAAATAAGCTGAAAATGATCGAAAGTAATTAAACTTTAAATAAAAATGTAAACTTGCTAAATTCACCTTTAGTCTTAGTGACCCTGGAGGTCAAAAAGTGAAATTTACCGTTTTTGCACTAGGAAGATTTAAAGCGATAAAATGTCAACGTAAAATATAAAAATTAAAGCGAAACCTGTTCTAATTAATAATAGGAACATTTCAACTTTATCTTTAGGGGGTCTTAGCACCGAACTTTCACTTCGGAACGTCGAAAATGATCTTGCATAACAGAACCAACACACTTTGAAACCTGTTTCAAAAATACGTAAAAATCTGTCAAATCGAAATCTCTCCGATTTATTTTCACAACGATTGTTATACATAATGATACATAATAGTTTTAGTGTTGGACTCGAGTCTGCAGGCCGCGTGGATTTCCGAGAATCCCAGTATAGGAAAACCGACGTTAATCTGTGAAGGGAAAACACGTATCTGGCGACGAGATTAAAAGTTTGCAAACTTTTTATGATTTTTTTATGAATTTCACCGGATCATGGACGCAGATAAAACCGACGAATGCATTGTACATAGTAGTTCACAGGATATATATGTCGTATTGGTAAATGTTAGCGGGGAAAATTTTGGCAGGCTTTGTGACGCGGCCTGCAGGCTGGAGTCCAGCCCTGGAACTATTTAATTGTTTTTTTCAGACAACTAGTATCATTATGAATAGCATTCGTTGTAAAACTAATTCGGAGAGATTTTGATTTAACAGTTTTTACGTATTTTTGAAAAAGGCTCCGAAGCGTTATGGTTCTGTTATGCAAGATCATTTTCGACGTTCCAAAGTAAAAATTTGGTGCTAAGACCACCTAAAAATAAAATTTAAATGTTCCTATTATTAATTAGATCTTTAAATCTTCCTAGTGCTAAAACGGAAAATGTGACCTTTTGACCTCTGGGGTCACAAAGAACAAAGGTGAATTTAGCAAGTTTACATTTTTATTGAGTGTGATTACTTTCGATCATTTTCAGCTTATTTTCATGATACAAGAATGACCGCGAATTCACTTTCGGTGCAAATGAACTCATTTGACCTTTGACCCCGAATATCTCGAAAACGCCCCAACGGCGGACTGATTACCACTCGGCATCGTATTCTACGCAAAATTTTACTCTAGAAAAGTTAGGTCTGGTTTTGTGCCCATTTGATGGACCCCCCCGCGCTGAGCCTCCAGACTATTTAGAGCTTCGCTCTATATTAAAATTTCAACTAAAAAAAAATTCGGTAAAAGATAGTTACTTCTATGACGGGACTGCTCATTCCGGTTAACAGGACGGTTTTACACAACAAAAATAAGTGACAAGCAGGCTGATTTCTTAACAGCAGAAAAAGCACGTGCAACAACAAGAATAATAATAATAATAATAAAAATAATAATAATAATGAGTTTTTGTATAGCGCAGCTTATCCATAAAAACCCTCAAGGCCCTTGGAGATGGTATGAAGCGTATCAATGTTACAATGTTCAGTTATAGTATGAGTTGAAAAGAAATGTTTTCAGTTTTGACTTTAAAGTTCCGAGATTATCACATCGCCTTAAATCAATATCAATTGCGTTCCAGAGTAATGGTGCAGCATGGGAAAATGACCTGTACCTGAAGGTCTTCATATAGTAGCCTGGATTGTAAAATCTCAGTTGGTTTCTTGATCTGAGGTCGCGTGTAGGAATGTAATTGTGTATCAGCTCTTGAAGGTACGAAGGGGATGAATCGTTGACACATTTAAATACTGTACATAGTAACTTATATTCAATGCGCAATTTGTCAGGGGGGGGGGGCAGTACAATCCTTTCAGAATAGGTGTGATATGGTTGAATTTTGGAGACAATGATATAATTCTGGCCGCTTTGTTTTGGACACATTGTAGCTTGTTTCCTAGAATATGTGGAATACCCCACAGCAAACCATTGCAATAATCCAGCCTGGAAAGGACCAAGGCACGAGCTAACGTATGATCAGCTTCGTGACTTATCAGGTGGAACACGAAGGTGGAAATAGCAAATTTTGCATAGATGGTTAACTGGTTTTCCCACCGACAGATCACTATCCAGGAATACTCCAAGGTTTTTGGCTGAATAGGAGAAGGCTATATCTGAGTCTCCGATCGTTATGGATTGTTCAAGCATGTTTGACCGCTGATGTTTAGTGCCTATTAAAACCGCCACAGTTTTGTCATCCTTAAGTTTCAGCATATTAGTGGTCATCCATTACTTTATCGATTTGGTACATGCAGTTATTTTTTCGAATTTCTGCAAAGATGCTGATGGCTCGAAACTTCCAATTATCTGAGTGTCATCTGCATATGCATGATGATCCAGTGCATGACGGTCAATGATGTTAGATACAGATGCAGTATAGAGTACAAACAACACTGGGCCCAAAACAGAGCCTTGTGGTATACCATGTTTTAACAGTACTGGTGGTGATACTGTTTTACCTATTAACACTTTCTGCGATCGATTTTTTAAATAGTATTTTCGCCAACTCAGTGCAGCGTCTGTGATACCAAACTGACTGGAGAGACGGTTCACCAATACATCGTGATTTATAGTATCAAACTCTGCAGATAGGTCGATCCAAACCAAGGCGGCACATCTTCCATTATCTACCGCTACCCGAAGATCAATTGTTACCCTTATTAAGGCGGTCTCTGTGGAATGATTTTGACTATAGGCTGACTAAAATTTGTCTAATACTCCACTTGTGGTTAAGTGATTAATAAGTCGCTTATTTACGACTTTCTCAATTATTTTGGAGATGAAAGGAAGGTTCGAGACGGGTCGATATTTCTTCAAAGTGTTAGGATGGAGGTTATCTTTCTTCAATAAGGGGCGTACTACAGCTGTTTTGTAAGTGTCAGGAAATGTAGAGGTTTCGAGGCTAAGATTGACTATTGAGGTGATCACAGGAAGTAGAATATCAATATGTTGAATAACAATACTCGTTGGCACAGGGTCCAAGAGACACGTCGTAGGTTTGGATGACAGAACTGTTTTCGTGGTAGATGGCGCATGCTTGTCTAGTAGACCAGTTATCGTGATATAATTTGGCAAGGTCATTCACAGAAGATTTTGCGGTGTTTAGAATAAGATCAGAATTTCGTAAATCGTTTCCGAAATCACTAGTATTGATGGACTTGATGTTTCTGCGGGTTAACTCCCGTTTCAAAGATTTAGGTCTGGACAGTGCACTCTTCAGAAATCTGGTGGTCTCCAACTTTCACCCTACCAACGACATTAGAATCATCCAATGACAGTACGAGATCGAGTGTGTTACCCGATTTATCCGTTGGTGTATTTACATGA